TATATAGCAATTTTTAGGCAAAAGCATCACAGACACAACATGTTCATGATGGGGCAAAACACTGTAGCAATTCACTTATACACATTTTTAAGACTTTTCTATATATATATATATATAATTTAACATGTAAATCCCACTCAATCATAATACGCATATGTTTCGTGAGTATCCATCTGATGAAAATATGGATATGGACATGGATAAAGAAAGTGGGTATTGACTCGGAATTTCTTGAAATCGAGGACCCAAATGCATACACAAATATCCATCTGACACGCACATGTACATGCATAAGCACATGTGTACAAGCATGCAAACAAACACATATGCCACCAACAAAATTGTACGCACTAGAATGTCTAAACACTTATCACAAAGGACAGAACATCCTTTATACAAACAACACAATTACCCCATTGCTAGGTTGAGGCTCCATCTCTGAATTTGGGGTTCCAAAAGGTACTCTTTAATAAGGGATATACACCAATGGAGTACATTTATGTCAGAGCTATGAGAATGAAAAACATCACATGAAAATCATATAATTTATTGTAAAAGGGAACATCATCATGGTCTTATGGTAGCTAATGGAAAGCATATAAAACAAGAATAAACAGGGTAAGAGACTGTTAATCAATATGAAGCATACAATTGAAAATTTCAACAATCCTCCTTCACCAATATTTTTTGATGTAACCCCCCCTTCACCATTATAAGTCTACAAAAACAAAGAAACCTCTAACTATTCACATATGCATGTTACATCTGCAATGCAATTGCATCTCGCAGTTGAACATTGTCTTCGTGATCGTTTGGTCCAGTTGTGAATATCATCTATCTTCTGCCCCTCTTCCTATTCTCTTTCAACCCTCTGCCGGAATCGCATCTCCCACCAACTATTCGCTCCTCGTGAAATCATGATGTAGTTAGGCAAAATCGACGTTGCAATATATTCTTTACCATTTCATTACTCTTTTTTTTTTTTGGGTAAGTCAGTGGGGGAGAAGGCCCTCTACTCTTATTTTGTTAATATAAAATTAAAATAGTAACAACTCATTATTGTACAACCCTATAATAAGGCACTTGCACTAGATCATCAAGTAAAAGCAGGGAAATAAAGTTTGGCAGTTGGGAGCACCAGATAGTAGCTCCAAAACTAAAAGAAAAAAGGGGTAAGTTGTTGGGGATTTAGGCCCCTACCCTTTGGTGAGAATGGAGTCAAAGATTTCATCATGGGGCTCAGCAGTACTACCATCAAGGCCCCAACCCATTCTCAAAGGTGTTTTTGACAAGGTTACATAAGAATGAAACTTGATACATTGGGCTATCAAAACCTAGCCTCTAGACGTTGGCCCATTTCATTACTCCTTGGTTGCTGTATTTTTAACTCATACAAATAGGTCTCGAATGGCCTCATTAAAGACATTGAAGTTGGCTATCGTTTGATACAACTCTTATGAACAAGAGCAAATCAAACTTCTGTCGAATATCGGCTAGCAAAGATTTTTACTACAAATATAACCAAATCACACCATCAGTTTCTACTTAAAAAACTTGTGCTCTTACATCCTATAACACAGATCAAGGTGAAGTGTTGTTTCTAACACTCTCTTCGTATTTATATGCATAGCATTATATGTATTGCCCATAAGACATTATATTCTTATAACATGTAAATTAGATTATCTTGGCTTTTTTGTATTTGCTTATGGGTAGTTTGGTCACTATTTATCGTAACATGGCATATATGAAGGTTTTGAAATACCATATATTTTAATGAAGCTTTCCCCTCAAGTGGAGGGTTTCCATCATTCTCTTTATATCTCTTTCATGTTCATCTTCAAGCGCATTAGGTTGTCACTAACACTTATTCCCAAAAATGCAAACAATGGTTACAAAAAGAACTGCTGAATATTGCTCCAATTGTCCTCTAAACATAATGTCTCAAGAGTACATCAATTAGAAGAATCAAGGTTTTGAGCTTGAATTGTAGGTTTGACTTATGATAACACGGCAATTCAGAATCTAGCTAGTAAAAGTGACTCCGACTTACAAAAGAACTAATGGCATGTAGGCAACTTAGTCATGAGGCTTTTAACAAAATCCCCCTGAATAGAAATTTTGAACAGTCTTTTTGTATTTAGAAAATAACAGAATGGAAAAAACAAAACAAAAAGGGCCATATAAAGTCAGTTATGGAGAAAAGCAGATAAAAATACAATGTTTAAAATATATCCAAGGATGTGAAATTCTAACATCCAGTAATCACTTACTGCAAAATTGATCACATCGCATGAGGTCTGGCAATGTTTACAAAGTGAAAAGCATCAGACCACCTCAAGTTGTTATCGCACCACTTGATTGACATAAAAGTCGAGGAATGACAAACCACGTAAAAATTTGATAGTCTATTAATACTTAGAATGAAAATGTATGCAGAGAAAGAAAACAAAGGGAAGAAAAATTGGCTATTCGAAGTCAACTAGAGACAAGTGGATGAAAGGCCACTGCTTAAATATAAGCATTGATATTAAATCCTAACATCTAGTAACCATTAACAATGAGATTGATACCCTCACACAATGTTTGGGAATGCCAATTGCGTGCAAAACAACAGTACCTAAATGATAGATAAATTTATTACTTTAAATTTTTTAATGGTTTTGTTGACACAAGGAAATTCCTAAAATAAATGGCAATATATTGTATCTAACCCAGGTCCCAGATATCAAGTCATGCTTAAAAAGTAACCATTAGGGATCTAAAGCAATGGGTGCAGAGATCAAAAAAGCATCAGAAAAAACTCAAAGTTTCTAAAATAGAAAGCAATCTCTTATCAACAACCTTAGCCCAACAACCTTAGCCCCAATTCATGTTTAAAATCTGAACTTCCAGGTTTTCTAGCATGAGGCTGCAAAATATAAGAAGTATCTGCTCCTCTACGGATGATCGAGGAACAAAAAATTTAATGGGGAATTGAAATGAAGTTCTGTATAATAATCATCAAGCAATCCTACATGAATATGTTATGAAGGAAATTATCATATTTGCACCAAATGAAAGAAAAGAAAAAGTCAAACCTGCAGCAATTGCCACATCAACGATATCCTTGAAACGATGTGAATCTAGCTTTTCATCTGAACATATCATCCAACTAAAAACTCTGCATTAACATTTTTCAGATGATCAACGTCATTCAGTAGACGAAATTGCATGGAAAATCTTAAGAGAACTTAATTATCAAACCCAAAAGGAAAAGAGGATCCATGTAACAATGTTCTTACTTATCCATATTGCCCTTGCATTTCTTGTACAATTCCTTCAAGTCCACCTTCTCTGTTTCAGATCCTCTATAATTAGCTTCAAATCCTTCAATATCTTCTTCAGTAACCTATTAACAACATGGACAATACAATTTACTGTGCATCAAAATTCATGAACTATGTGAAGGAATTAAAACGAAGGGGCCAAAATTGAAGGGAGAGAAAAGAAAGAGAATGTGAAAAACTGGACCTAAAGCTAAGGAAAAGGATGATAATGCAAGGTAGTATATCGGTCACCTTCTGGTATATTGTCCTGAAGTACTCATACAAACTTTCAACAGCAGCACCACCAAGCTCCTGGAAAAATTTAAATGAGAAGAGCAAGTGGGTCGCAGATTATTATAAAAGAAAAATCCAGTGGGTCATTTTACCAATTACAAACACAAAAAAAAATTATTACAAATTTAAAACAATAACGACCCATCAGAACCCAGTTAATAATAACTCACAGCATCAACCACACAACCAGTCTGATCATACAGTGCCCTTTTCTCTGGGTCTCCAAGAATTGATATCACCTTCTGCAAGAGTTGGAACTTCTCTTTGGCATCCTGAAAGTAGAATCAGAAAAACTAATGATGTAGCTGGGAGTAAAATAAGAAAGGTAGCAGAGTTTTACATTTGTAAAACCAAATACTGTGAAGGACAAAGTACGCACCTCATTGCCAGGATTTTTGTCTGGATGAAGACGCAAAGCCAATTTATAATACGCCTTCTTAATTTCCTGCTGTGATGATGTCCTTTCCAATCCAAGTATCTAAAGACAATGATGCATTAAATCATTAAAAAAAAAAAAAGGGCATACGAGATAAGATCTAGACCCAAAAATTAAATGTATTTACCAAAAATACAAAATTAACAATAGTAATACAACTCGTGGTCCTGTGCAAACCAAAATTATCTTTGAAACCAAATCTATCCCACTTTCATATTTCATGTAAACAGTGAAACTCTTGAGTCACACACTATCTTTGTCCCATCTTTGCATGTACCTCCTCCTGTTCTTCCATTTCGTTTCCTTTCTCTTCTTACTTAACTTTTATGATTCGACCAAACATTCAACATGAGTTATGGACTCTGTTTTCTTAACTGCTTCATTACAGCTCTTGTAATCAAATGTTTTTTGTTTCCTTTTTCTTTTCCTTGAATCAAACTGAAACCCATCCTGAACAATGGATTATGGAGATTGGATTACAGAGTCTTCTTTTTTTTATATTTCCTTTTCCCCAAAGTTATACTCTGTGGGGGTTAAGTTGCTCTCAATTCATATCCACAGACAAGTAAAACAAAATGAAATCATTAGTTTTCACTTCAAAAAAACTGATCACTAGTGACCATTAATCATATCGACGAAGGGGAATATGCCATGAGATATCATGAATTACGCTTGTAACAGGAGAGACATTTTGCACTGGATGAGCTTGGCTAAAGAAAATACCAATCCATGAGCAATTATTCTTCTTTTTTAACAGAAATCAATAAACCAATTTCCATGTACATAAATCCCATTATTTCTTAACTAAAATACGCACCAAATATGATCAGATAATGAGAAGGGAAGCCTTAGAATATTAAGTCATGCCAGACAATAAATTTTTCCTTTTTTTTGAAGTATCATGCCAGATAATAATTTATCAAACATAGACCCTAAAAACAGGAAAAAAGCTGCGAATAAAGTCCAGAATAACGACTAGTTCATGGAAAAGTACAAGGAAAAAGGCCCTGAGGATCATGAAGATTGGGGATACAGAAGCTTGCCTCGTATAAACTCTTCTCTTTGGTGCCAGAATTGGATGCCTCTTCTTGAACTGCTTCCTCTGTTTCCTCTTCCGAAACCCTAGGTTTCTTCTTCTTACCCATTTTTATGCAAAAATAAATAAACACAAATTTCCTCTGGGGAAATGTATCCTCTCGCAGAAATGGGGGTTGGGGAATGAACAAAACCTGAATAAGTGACCGATGCCTTTCCCTATATATAAGGCTTGGCCTTATTTCCCGCCATTTTAATTTATTATAACTTTTAGTTTGTTTCTTGGCGGGAGCACATATGAAGATATATATAGAGAGAGAGAGAGAGGCGGGAGTATACGCACATAGAGAGGAGAGAGAAAGGAAAGGTCGAGAGAGCGGGATGTCTCCCTGCAGCATAGAAGTTCGATCTTTCACCTTATCCAACCGTCCATTATGCATAGTGGGCTAAGATTGTTTCAATCACAATATTATGTCTATATTATTTTATTTTTAATTTTTTTTTAAAACTATTTTAACACCAAATTTTGGTCGTTCATTCTTCTATTAAACTTACGCTAGCAAAAAATATAAAAAATATATTTTTAATAAAATAAAATGATCAAAAGACCTTTGAAAGTTTCAAATGATATTTTAGTTATTATATTTTATTGCAAATTTATTTTTTCTAGGTGCACCCCAATGAGAAGACGGCACATACCAAATTTTATATTTATACAATTTGTCTAAAAAAAACTAAAAAAAAAATACTGAGACATCAGATCTAAGATCAAACGGTGAGTAGCTCTTTTGATCAAAATTGAATGGCTAGATGGTATGGGAGGATAGAACTTCTATGATGTAAAGGAAGCATAAAAACAATTTTCAATAGAGCATGGTAAGCAAGTTGACAAATAATAATATATTAACAATTTAATATAGCGAAAGTATATAATGAGACTTTTTACCTTTGGTATCATGTGATCACAATTGATTTTGACCACTAGATGTGATATAGGGTAGATGCATTTATTTTATTGACCAAACTCAAAGTTCAAAATAAATTTATTCGAACTTTGTAATACATCCAAGCTATCAGATTTCACATCGGATGGTTATAAATAGTTGTGACCTCCATGTATAAAATGTAAATGATCTCTTTGTATACAACCCCATTAAAATATCAATAATGAATTGATTTTGTTCTAATAATTGAAAGCTAAAAAGTCAAATAAAAAATATAGATCGCTAAAAATTAGATAAGTAAACATATTATAAATATTTTGAATTGACTAAAAAAGACAGTGAAAATTTATATAAGTAAAGATGACACATGATAAGATTGTAATTTGTAGTTGTTCTATAAATACATTAAAGCCATCGAACAATAAATTTATCTCCTTACTATGATGAGGATAATACTTGATAAATTTTTGTCTAAATTAAATACAACAACATATTGTCACGACACAAAACATATAACCTATTGTGAGCATAGAGTTAAACAACAATACTAAACATAATAACCACATTAGTAAATAACAAGAACGGTAACCCAATGCACATTATTATTTAAAAAAAAACACAAAAGACCATTAATATAGAACTAGTGGTACCTAAAACAAAAAAAAACTAAAAAATACAAAATAATGACCCATCCAAAATGCTTTGTTTTTACACTAATAAAATAAACAAAATTTCAAAATGTGAAATTCATCAAACTTGTACACGTAGAAATAAAGCAGCATCCAAACATTTGAATCTCACCATGAATTCTTAGTTGCTTAAATGTTTAGTTGTCATTAACCTCTATTGCTCTTTATGTTGATTCTATAGGTTCGATAGAAGATTTTTTATCAGGTTACTATTTCTTAAACTCTACTTATATTTTAAGACTTACGGTTGATAAATTATTTGTTGGTAATATATTTTTTATATTTTTTAATACACTTTTTAATAAAATATTTGATAAAAATATCTAAACCATAATTCAAATATATTAAATCAATGAAGAAGGTAAAA